CCATGTCCTCTCCATCCTGCTGGGCCAGCCTGCTTCCTGCCTGTTCTCTGGCCGATGTCCTTCTGTCTTATAGCTGAACCCGGGGCATCTCCTCTGGGAGGCCTTCCAGAGGGATATCTCACAATGTCTAGGCCCAACATGGTAAAATGGATTTTGTCTGCTATTCCCCAAACCTCTTCCTCCTACATTCCCTCCTTGTCACCAAGCACTGGGCTCTGGCTCAGCTCTCCCTCCCACACCTAGTCCTGCTGATTCTACCTGTGTAAAATGCCTCAATCCTTCTCCCATCTCTGCCCCACACTGTCCTTCACCATCTATCCCAGGCTATGCCCCACTCCTGCCCCCAGAAACCTGCCCTCCTGCTACACTGAGCCATTTTCAGTTTCCTGAAGAAATAAGTTTTCATTCCTCTCCATAAGCCCTCCACCTGGTAAGTCTCTCCCTGTGCACTCTTTTTGGACTGGATAACTCCCACTTGTCTTTCAGGCCTCTACTTGATGTTACCTCATCCAAGAAGCCTTCTTGGACTTCTCCAGGCACATGGGGCTGGCTTCTTTGGGGTTCCCAAGCTCCTTGTGCTATCTCTGCCACAGACAAGGCCTTCCAAGCCTCTGTCCAAATCAGATGTCCCTCATTTGAATTCCCTGAAGCCTCTTCTGTTCTGTGCATGTTGCACTGGATTGTCACTGCTTACCTGTTTCCCCCAGGGTCTTTCTTCTCTGTTTCTTTTAGAGCCTGCACATGGCCTGGCACAAAGTTAAACACCCAGTAAGTTTCAAATTGAGCATATGGTAAGTTTCCTGTTGAACCTCAGTCACTACCAAGTCTGCCACCAGCCTGGGCAGCGTTTTCCATGGGGCTCCTTCCACTTTCAGAATCAAGAGACTCCTGGTAGATTTTTAGTGCGAAAAGGTAGATTCTTGCCTTTTGGTCTGTTGAATAAGTGCTCTACTATAGAAGCTTCAGTTTGCAATGGTGATTTTTTTTTTAAGCAGTGAAATTTCAGTAATGACAGCCTTTGCCAACACGGTAAGCCTCCTCTATCCTAAGGAGTTCCTCCACTAATTGCAGTGCTGATCTGAGGGAGGCTTGCAGAAATGAAAAGGAAACCAGTAAACGTTGCTGCCACTTTTCCTTCACAGCTCAGATAAAATAAACAGAGTGTGGGAGGGGGGATGTCCTCTTGGGGGTGTTGGCGCCTTTCAAAATGCTGCCCCTGAGAATTTCAGTATACTGGGGCCTCTCAAATTTGTAGAGCAGCTGAGTGCCCAACATCACTTTGAAATATTCTTGGTTCACCCTGATATGCCAATGTCCCAGGTTTATGGAGCCCCACACCTACTGAGATTATTTGTAAGAATTGGAGCAATGTTGGCATATACACCCCTTGATGAGAAGAGCCTTGCATTATTGTTGGACTATTTGCATGATTTCCTAAAATATCTGGCAAAGAGTGCTGCATCTCTCTTTACTGCCAGTGATTACAAAGTGGCTTCAGCTGAGTACCACCGCAAAGCCCTGTGAGGGTCTAGTGACCACCCACTGTTATGTCTGGTATCTGTAAACACTCTTTTCATTCTTAGTCTTTTTCTTGTATAATTGATGATTGTTAATTATTGTTAATGTATAACAGGGCTTATGTTTCGGTTTGTTTTCTGTTGTTTTTAAACAGAAAATGAAAGGAGTACAAGCTCCTTTTCTCATTGCAAAGTTGCTACCAGTGTACGCAGTAATTAGATGAAGAAACATTCAGTAGAACATTTTATTGCCTAGTTGACAACATTGCTTAAATGCTGGTGGTTCTACCCTTTGACACTACACAATTTTCTAATATGTGTTAATGCTACATGACAAAATGCCCTGATTCCTAGTGCCAAAGGTTCAACTTAATGTATATACCTGAAAACCCATGCATTAGTGCTCTTTTTTTTTATGGTGCTTGAAGTAAAACAGCTCATCCTCTGCAAGCCCGTCTATGTTGTTCCTTAGGCATTCTATTTTTGCTCAAATTGTTGAAGGATGGTGATTTGTTTTATGGTTTTTGTATTTGAGTCTAATGCATGGTCTAACATGATAGAAGCAATGCATTATTGTGTAGCCACGGTTTTCTGGAGAAGTTGATATTTTAGGAATTGTATTTCAGATCTTAAATAAAATTTGTTTCTAAATTTCAAAAAAAAAAAAAAATGCTGCCCTTGCCCCTGCCCTCGCCCATGGCTCAGTGTGTTTTTGTTCCCTTCTGCCCAGAGCCACCAGGACATGTACTAAAGGCTGTTTTTTTCCAAACTTCTTCATTAAAATAGGTTCTTGCAATCAGTGCCACAGCACAGCATCTGCACGCCTATGTGTCTGACTTCATTACTCATTCCAAATAAGAGACCCCAGTAAGGCTTCCCTCCTTGGTGAGTCTGGCTTGATGGCCACATGTTTAGGAACAGTGCTCGCCCACAAACCCAGTTTCCTGGCTGTCAGTAACTCCTATTCCTACTTGTATGAGAAACAGCCCCCACTCCTGCCCCTTGTCCTCTTAAGTTAATAGGTGATGTTTGAGGGTGATGTCAGAACTGAAAGCAGTTGGGATAACCTTTAAATAGTTTTTTATGGACTTCAGGGAAAGGAGTTTTGCTTCTGGTTCTAAGAATGAGTCTGGTTCTGCCACTTATTATTAGCTTTGGGGTGAAATGCAATTTATGTGAGCTCCTGAACCTCTTGTTGCCTCATCTACAAAATGGGAGCAATAGTCTACCAGGTCAGGTGGAATGTGGATTAAGTAAAGTAACATCTTGGCCGAGTCTCTGGAATACATGCATTTGGTAGCTGGGAAGTGATAAGTCACTTCTCTCTCCCCCACTCCCAGATTCAGCCTTTCCCCCAAGAATAAAAACATAGTAACTGACCTACTTCAACACAAAGTATTTAAAGGAAAAGCCATAAGATAGGCAACCTTAAAACAATAACAACAACAAAACCACTGAGGCATTTATTTGTAAAACCATGAAGATTGCACTCTCATTGTTCTCTACACCCCCAACAGTCTTTAAATTCTGCTTAGCAAAGTCAGCAAGGCAGAGGAGATCTGTTTCCCAGGTATAGGTTTTACTCCCAGAGAGGACATAGGTATTAAAGAAGACCTGTCCCTCAAATCTGAAGGTCAAGAGAATTTTCTGGAAGCAGTTTATCCAAAAGGCTTCCGTATTACTCCACTGGAGAGGTCCTATATTTTAGTTATGCTGAATGATTGAATCTGTTCCCACCTGAATGCTTTCCTGAACACAAAGATGTATCATCCCCTGGCCACTCAGGCGCCCACCCGCAGAGCCGCCTGTGGTCCACAGTCAGCAGACAGGTGTGGCACGTCTGGCTCCCCGCCCCACACTGCCCTGGCTCCAGTGCCACCTCCTCTCCTGGGCTGCTGTGAGAGAGTCCTACTCTGTCCTCCACTGTGTCTAAGTGTCTGTTCCACAGACTACCCTACCCTTTTTCAGAGGCGGTTGCGCTAAAAACAGAATAAAAACCCTATTTAACTTTTTGAACCTGGCATTTCTCTACCCCCTCCAACTTGTTTGATCACAGACCCTTTTATTTATTCCCCTCCTGGACACTGAGGTTCCTAGGCCCCCATCTTAGAGAATGTTGCTCATTTGTGGATGGGCTGCCACCCATTCGCTTATTAAATCAGATTTGGGTATAAACGTTGGTCAGTAAGGGCATCCATAACTCGTCGTGTGCCATTTAGAAAGAGGTGCTGGGGTTCTGTGTATTGACTGAACCACTTCCAGGATACATGCTATGTGAAGAAAATAAACTGCAGCATGCCATGAACTGCGATTTGCCTGCATACACTTAGATTTTACCAACCAACAAAGATTATATTTTATTTCATTTTTCTAATTTATACATTTTTTTCATTATATACTACATACACAACTATTTGAACATATATAACTAAAAAATAACACCTCATTAATCTATCATAAATCCCAACCCCTTCAATCCCTCTCTATTATATCCTAAATCAATAAATCACATTATAAATAATCTAAATACTACATCTTTCATAACACATCATTAACCATCCCCATCCCTCATCTCTACTATTTCATATTAACAATTTCCCAACTCAAATCTAACAATTCCTCCAACCTATCATCATTCCAACCTATTCCACCCACCATACACATCCAACCCTCTCCCCCATTCTCATTTTTCCCCTATACCCCCTCTCATTTTCCAATATCTCCTTCCCCTATACCTTTAATCCCCCTATATCCATCCCCACCAAAACCTCAATATCCAATTTTCTATACAAATCCCCCAAAAAATCACAAAAATTAATCATTCTTTAACTCTACACAAACCCTTTACTAAATTTCATAATCAAACATTAATCAAACCATTCCCTACATTAAAATATTATTACCAATAATATATCCCAACAACCATCACACAAACATAATATCCACAACCCAACCAACTAATTTAACACAATCCACATTAACACCCTAGTCACAAATACCATAAATTCACCGTACAAACATGTAACTACAATAGTACCAACATTTACATTTGAATCATACATTCAAATAGCCCGTATTTATCTCTGTACAAAAGACCTGTGGTCATCCAAACACTATGAATGCAGAGAGTTAGCTTCCAGCGTGAGTGCAGATGCTCTCCTACCCGTCAGCTGGCTGAGAAGAATATTTGGAAGATGAGTAAGGTAATGTGTTCCATATGCTAAAGAGAAGATGATTGAGCATCACGCAAGGTAGAGTGGGGAAGCCCCCACTCATTACCAAGGTGACCTTAGACAAGACGTTCCCTGCGCTCCACCTCAGTTACCTCATCTGAAATATGAGAGCAATAAAATCTTACCTCACAAGGGTGGTTGTGAGGATCATATGAGGCAATCCATGTGGAAGGTCTTTATAAACTGTGAAATGCTCTGCACGTGTCGGCCAGTATTAGCAATTAATGTGACTGCTTGTTTATTGTTTCAGCGGAGAGTGCAGGACGTCATCAGCCCCATCGTGTTTGAAGCCGCCTACAGCCTGGGTGAGCATGTGACTGGGGAGGAGGAGAGAGAACTGCCAGCCCTGACACCAGTGCTCCGCTGGAAAAAGGGACAGAAGATTGCCCAACAGAATCAGGTCAGAACCTTGATGCTCACGACCGGGACCCAGGGTGACAGGTGCCTGTGGCAGAGGCTGCGGCCCTGCCTGGCGGAAGGGGGCACAGGCACCCCCCCACACCGCACCTCCCTTTCCTGATCTGCGAAATGATAACATATGTGGTTTGGGAGGTTGCGTCTAACAACGACATGATTTAAACACATGGAGTCTCTTCCCAAGTAGTTATAAACTTATCTTTTTTAAGTTTCTGAAGTTTTTATCTTGAAAATGTTAAACCTACAAAAAGTTGAAGAAATAGCGCAATGGACATACATATACCCTTCACCTAGATTCACCTACCTTAATATAATATAATATATAATATAATAATTCACCTATCACTAATATATTATAATGTATAACATAGTAATTCACCATCATTAATATATAATGATAAAATGATAAAAATTTTAATAATAATATTATTATATCATTATTTTGAATTGTCCTGTAGACTGTCCCATAATCTGGAATTGTCTGGTTGTTTCCCCCAGTTAGTTTCAGGCTAAACATTTCCACAAGTTATTTACACAGATGATGCTGTATCCTTCCACTTTATCACTTCAGAAGGCAGTATCAGTTTGACCCATTATTCATTATAATTAAGATAGATTACTTAGCTAAAGTGGTGTCTGCCAGAACCCTCCTTTGTAAAAGTATCTTTTTCCCTTTTTAGTTACTATGTAGTGTGTGAAATAGGTGAAGAGGATAAAGAACACACTCATCCTGATGAACACTGCGTAATAGCTAGAACCGTGGAATCACTGCATCGTACATTCAGTATACATCTCTTCACTCTGGTTATCTACCTCATTCTCTTTCTTCTTGTTGTAGCATTTAAATTGATCCAATAAAGCATGTTATTTGAAAACCAAAACCAAAACCAAAACCTGCATCATCTTCTTTTGCCACTGGAAGCCAAGGACTCAAAGGCTCCGGAAGATGGCAGACCACAAGATGGAAGAAAGTCAAGGATCCGAGTTACCAAAAGGCAGACCATCTGTTAATCCCTAATTGGAATTTGACTGAGAGAGAACTTAAGTTTCTCTTAATTTAGGACATTGAGATTTTAGGGCTTCTGGGTTACTACAGCTATTATATTAACAAATATTGACCCGAATATAACAGTGCATATTAACTATACTGGATTTAAAATTGGGAAAAAAAAGTAACCTGGGGAATGATACTTTCTTTTTAATACATCCTTTTTTTTACCCCCTCTACAGTCCCAGTTTATTACAGTGTAGAATGGAGATGCATTGCAAGTAATGGTAATGGCGTAAGCACAGAGAATCTGAGGTCAGGCAGAACCTGAATTTAACCTGGCTCTTTTTTTTCTAAATTCAAATTCAACTAATTAACATTGGTTTTGGAGGTATTGGTTTTGGAGGTAGAGGTAAGTGATTTATCAGTCCTATGTAATACCCAGTGCTCATTCCATCACGTGCCTTCCTTAATGTCCCTTTGAGGTCATGAACTAGTTACTTGGCTCCTGATCTTGACACCTGTTCCCAGGCCAATTCCAGAACTTAGATCACATAGGAGGTGCTCACTAAATGTTTTATTGGTGAGGGCATGAGGGAGGTGAAGGAGTGAGAACATCATCTTGTAGAATTGGTGGTTGAGTTAGAAATTCCCAATCCAAGCATCCCTGGAGCCTAGAACATGATGAGTGCTGGTGGGTCACCCATCCTGTCTGATGCTTATCAGATTCTAGGATGTGCTGCTGTATAGAAAAGCTTCAGAACAATGTCAGGGACAGGCCCTCCAAGTAGGAGTGGGCTGGAGTGAGTCCGTGAGCTGACTCTGTGCAGCAGTGCTGCTTGTCTGCCCTGAGCCATCTGTGAAATGTGCAGCACCACTACTATCCAGGAAATATGAAAAGAATCTGTTAGTCCCAAATCTGTTTTCAATCTTTCCTCAACACCCAAGATCACCACAGCTCCAAGACTATGGTGAGGGGACGGTCAGGCAAAACTGCTTTTTGGCCAAATGAACCTATGCAGGGTGGGAGCAAAGTTGTGGAACCACTCACTGGCCCCACCCACCTGCTGACTGCAATGAGCATAGGGGAAAATTAGCACGTCAGTGAGCCGTGCCTTGCAGATTAGAGTTGTGAACAAAACCACAGAGACACAGAGAAGTGTTTGAGGTTTATGATATGCATCCAGATGTTCATTAAGTGGCGAGATTTTTACCAAGGCATCCCAGTTCTCTACCAAAGTATTTCCCACATGGTCTTGGGTCAGGTTCCCTAGAAGCAGAGCCTGAGGCAGGGACTTGGGAGCAACTGGAAGAAACAAGGAAGTAAGGGAAGTGGACGGGACTGAGTAAGGATGTGGCATCAGCTAGCTTAGCTGAGCTGGGGAACTCAGGAGGATAAATTATACCAAGAAGTTGTCTTCTTGAGGCAAGAGGGCTGGCCTTTTGTATCCCGTGTTAGTCAACCACTGGCTGGCTGTCCAGTGTAGAAGGGGAGTGTGGGTCTCCTTGAAGGAGATTCCCTTCAGCTTTTCACAGTTCTCTGGGGAAGGACACAGATGTGAGCTGTTAGCTACCTACACATCAGCTGGGGGATGGGCAGCAGTTGTGCATGGGTGTAGGCAGGGCTCCCAGGACCTGCCACACATATACACACAACCTACTGGCAAATACTGATTTTTTTAGGTCCTTCTTTTTATTTCAAACATGAACTTCTTTCAAAACACAAGTACCCTGGAAGGTGACTGGTAGGTCCTACTGGTTATTGACACTTGGAGTAGGCTGGGGTCTCAATGAATCAGCCTAATCAAAGCCAAAGATGCAGGGACAGATGAATATGAAAATGCCCTTTTTGGTCACTTCTGGATCAACCAAGCACATATGTTTATGCTTCCTGAGACCCCATTACAGTGATTATAAATGAGTTAATAGAGACTGTGAGGGAGAAGGGACATCAATCAGTGAGAGAGTCTGGTAATTTTCTGGAGTGACTGAAGAAGGTGGAAGAGTGTTGGTGGGTGAACCTTGAACTATGCATAGAGGGCCTGGGTGCCCATCTATCCAGGGATCAGAAAGGCTACAGTCATGGCCAGGCCAGTGGTTACAGAGGGGTGAAAGAGTGACAGGTGGAACTGAAATAGGGGAGGGAGATATTAAGTGAAATTTGGTAAGTGGAAGAGTTGACGTTTCACCTCTATCCTTGTCCCAATACTTTAGGCATGCAGAATAGCAGGCATCCAGGCATTTTTCTTCTGTAAAGAATTGAATAAACTAGTTGAGGTGTGAGTTGGCTGGTTCCCCAAAGGAAAACCTTATTACCTCTTGGCATTTAGAGACTCCAGTGTAAGTGCTAGTTGCCCTTCTTACTGTTCACCCAGACACATCCACAGATTTTCTGATCAGCCCTTTTGCCTTAAATACAAATGGACAGCCAGTAAAACCTGAGAATGAAGGGGCAATGTGGTACATTGAGAAAGAAACAAAATAAACAACAGAATAACTGACTTATAAGAAAATAAATTATTCAGGGTATAGAAGACATTATATACATTTAAAAACTACCTTAAACTGTACATAATAAACATAGGAGATTTAAGAATGCATTCTGTCCATTAGGAAATGGTTTGAATTCTATTTCTTTTTGCAGGGAAGTAACAGGAAAAAAGAAAGTTCTTTTTAATATTTTATTTATTTCAAAGAGAGAGAGAACAAGAGAGTATGAGTGGGATGAGGAACAGAAGAAGCAGGGAGCCCGATGCATTCCTCAGTCCCAGGATGCCAGGATGACCTGAGCTGAAGGCAGATGCTTAACCAACTGAGCTACCCAGGTGCCCCAAGAAAAGGGTTCTTAAAAATTAACGATATGGCTGCAGAGACAAAAATTTAATAGGATAAGAAGATGATGGTAAGAAATCCTCAAATAATCAGAGTTAAAAGACAAATAGAAAAGATAACTAAAAATCAATTTACAAGGTCCTATATTCAAGTAATAGGAATACCAGAAAAAGTAAACAGAGAAAATTTAAAAAGTTATGAAAGACAATAGAAAAAATTTCCCAGAGGTAAAGGGTAACATTATTTTTTAATTTACCAACTACAAGCAGGAGAAACTAAAAATGTCCTAGATTCATCATTTTGCAGTGTCTCTGCTTCTAACATTTAAGGAAAATTCTAAATGCTTCCAGGACAGAGAATACAGGATGGATGGTGGTAGTGAGGGATATATGTCAGCTTACAACAAAATTAGAGTCATACTAAGTAGACCATCAGACTCCTGATTAGCAATATTAGAAGCCAGACTATGGTGAAATAAAGACTTCAGAGTTCTGAGAGAAGGTGATTTGAAACTAGAATTTTATACTTAGCTTAACACTCAAGTATGAGGTCAAAATGCAATCATTTTTCAGACAAGCAAGGATCACATAGTTTACCTCTCTAGGAACTCTTTTAAGGGAATAACTTGAAATGCACTCCAACAACACAATAGGGTAATAGCAAATTTTAAAAAAATAATTAACCAATTTAGAAAAGGGGATCAATGGACTTCAGGAGGACTGAAGCCAGCAATAGGCAGAAAAACAGAAAGTAGCAAAACTTTAGGATACAGTGTAGATGAAATATATTTCTTCTCTAACAAAAAAATAAAGGCAATCAAAAACTCTTAGAAAAATAGAAATATGGTCAATTATCATGGTTTAAACAAACATAAAATATCATGTGATTTTAAGCAAGTAAAAGAGTATAAGGAAGAGAAGACTTTGATACTAGAAATATTCTCCCTTAAGTGGAAGTTGAGTGTTCTAGGAGTTTTCACCTATAGAAGAGGATTTGTAATCGTGATACTTGTTTTGGTTCTACTGTGATCAATAATCGTGTAGCCATAATAACATTAGAATTATTTATTGGTTTTCAGTTATGGAATAAAATGCAAATATCATTAAATTTGACTAAATATAGAGGTAAAAATAGGACAACCAAAATTGTCTTAATATCTTTTA